AATTAAATAGACCAAATTCCCCAATCAAAAGACAGAGAGTAGCTGACTAGATTGTTAGGGGAAAAAAAATTTTTTTTAACCTTGTGAATTTTTTTACTTTTGGCTTCAGAAGCAGGAGAGCAGACCTCTGACCTGCTTCTGACCTGCCTGGACACTGCCTGGACTGTATGCTTGCCAGCAAGCACAGCAAGTTGGCAGCACTTTAGATAAGAAAGGGAGTGGGTCTCGGAATTCTTGCATCCAAGGAGGCCTGGCCAACCCTCTGGGCTCCAACAAAACCCTATGACTCACAAAGTAAACAAACCTGCACTGTAAAAGTTAAAAAAAAGAAGCTGCACTATTGCGCAAACTGATGCAAACATCAGCCTGGGACTATAAACAGGAGGCCTCAAAGCAGCAAGCTGAAGTCTCACCCACGGGATGGACGCACCACCCAGGAGCTTTTCCCAACTGGACCTCCAGACTGCTGTTAACAAGGGACTTCCCAGCACTGTTTAAGTCTGGACATTGTTTGGCCCAGTGGTGGTGCATATGCTGTTACTTTTCTCTATTATTTCTACTTCTCTTCTTTTAATGACTGTATACTGAAATTAAGTCAAATAATCCTCTATTAAATACTGAAGTTGTTTATTGTGTGTGTGATGAATGGTTTCTTTTGTTAATGAATCCTTCCAACCTAAAACAAAAATAAAACTTTTGGCAAATACAGATAAAAACAAACAAACAAACAAAACAGGCTCAACTACATGATGCCTAAATAATTCAGGACACACAAAAATTAAAAATAAAGGAATGGAAGAAATATTCCATGCAAATGGAAACCAAAAGGAAGTTAGGGTAGCTATATTTATGTCAGCCAAAATAGACATTAAGACAAAGACTGTAATAAGAAATAAAGAATGTCATTATATAAAAATAAAGGGCTCAAATCAACAAGACAATACAACATTTGTAAATATTTATGTAAGCAACACAGGAGGAGCTAAACATATAAAGCAAATATCAACAAACCTGAAGAGGGAAATAGATGGCAAGTACAATAATAGTAAGGAACTTCAATATCCCCACTTTCATCACTGGATAGATCATCCAGAAAGAAAATCAATAGGGAAACGTTGCACTTAAACAGCATGTTTAACCAAACAAATATAATGGGTATATATAAAACATCCCATCCGAAAGCAACACAATATACAAGCACACGTGGAACATTCTCCAGGAGAGATCATAATGTTAGGTCACAAAATAAATCTTAATAATTTTAAGATTAAAATCATATCAATCATTTTTTTCTAAGTACAAAGGCATGAATCTGGAAATCAATTACAAGAAAAGAAGAAAATTCACATATATGTGAGGATGAAACATTATGCCAATGAACAACCAATGCTTCAAAGAAGAAAACAAGAGAAATTTTATAAATGCCCACATTAAAAAACTAAACCAAAAATTCATGGAAGAAAATAAACTAAGATCCAAGGGCAAGCAAATGAAATAGATTAACAAGACAATAGAAAAGATCAATAAACTAAAGACATGGATTTGGGGTTTTTTTTTAAGGTACACAAAATAGACATACATTTATCTAGATTCACCAAGTAAAAGAAAGATGACTCAAATAAATAAAATTATAAATGAATGAGGAGACACCACAACCAATACCACAGAAGTACAACGTGCCATAAGAGATTACTATGAAAAATTACACACCAACAATTTGAACAATCTAGAAGAAATAAATCAATTCCTACTAGCAAACAATTTACTAAGACTGTATCATAAAAAAAAATTTTTTTTTGGAACAGACCATTTAAGGCAATTGAGTCAGTAATCAAAAGCTTCTCAAAAAGAACAGCCTAGGACTAGATGGATTCACTGGTGCATTCTATCAAACATTTAAGGAATGAATACCAATCCTTCTCAAACTCTTTCAAAAGTAGAAGAGGAAAAACTGTCAAACTTTTTATGAGGCTAGCATTACCATAATACCAAAGACAGACAAGAACATTAAAAGAAAAAAAAAAAGTACAAGCCAATATTCCTGATGAACACAGATGCAAGAATCTTCAACAAAATTAGGAAATGAAATTCAACAATACTTTAAAGAATCATAAGCCAAGATCAAGTTGGATTTATTTTAAGGATACAAGAAAGGTAACATCTGCAAATCAATCTGATATACCACATTACCAAAATGAATGCCAAAACTCATATGATCATCAATAGATGCAGAAAAAGCATTTGACAAAATTCAACATTTAAGATAAAATTCTGAACAAAGTGGGCACAGAGGGAATGTACTTCAACACAATAAAAGCCATAAATGACAAGTTTATAGCTAACATTACAGCGAATAATAAAAAAGTCAGAAGTTTTTCCTCTAACATGAGAAACAAGACAAGGATACCCTCTCTTGCCACTTTTATTCAGTACAGTATTGAACATTCCAGCCAGAAAAATTAGGCAAGAAAAAAAAAAAGAAGTAAAACTGTCAGTATCTGCAGATGACATGATAGTACATACAGAAAACCCTAAAGACTCCACCAAAAAACTATTAGAAATAACATATAATTCAGTAAAGTCATAGCATACAAAATCAATATACAAGAATATGCTGTTTTTATATACTAATAACAAACTATCGAAAAGAGAAATTAAGAAAACAATCCCATTTATGGTTACGCCAAAGAGAATAATACCTAGGAATAAATTTAACAAAACAGGTGAAAAACCTGTACACTGAAAACTCTAAGACACTGATGAAAGAAACTGAAGACAGCACAATGGAAAGACAATCCATGTTCATGGGTTAGAGGAATTAATATCATTAAAAGGCCCATACCACCCAAAGCAATCTGCAGGTTTAATAAAACCCCAATCAAAATTTCAATGGTGTTTTTCACAGAAATAGAACAAACAACCCTAAAGTTTGTATGGAATTATAAAAGACCCCAAATAGCCAAAACAATCTAGAGGAAAAAAGGGCAAACCGAAGGCATCATGCTCCCTGATTTCAAACTAAATTAGTGATCAAACTACTATGGTATGCACTTAAAAAACAGACAGATCAATGAAACAGAATTGAGAGCCTGGAAATAACCTGATGCCTATGTTAACAGTTAATTACTGTCAAGAATATATAATGGGGAAAGGACAGTCTCCATGGTGTTGGGAAAACTGGACAACCACATGCAAAAGAATGAAACTGGACCACTACCTTACTCCATACACAGAAAAAAGCTCAAAATGAATTAAAGACTTCATTTTAAGACGTGAAACCATGAAACTCCTAGAAAGAAATATAAAGATAAGCTCCACGACACTGATTTTGGCTATGACTTTGAATTTGACACCAAAAACAAAGACAACAAAAGCAAAAAAAAAAAAAAGTGGGGTTTCATCAAGCTAAAAAAACTTCTGCACAGCAAAGCAAACAATGAACAAAATGAAAAGGCAAGTTAGTGAAAGGGAAAAAAAATTTGCAAATCATATACCTGATAAGGGGTTAGTAACTAAAATATATTAAGAACTCATACAATGCAACAGCAAAACAAAACAAAAAATCATCCATTAAAAAAAAAAAAACACAGCAGAGGATCTGAAGAGACATTTTTCCAAAGATTTACACACAGCCAACAGGCACATGAAAAGGTACTCGACATCACTAATCACCGGGCGGAAGCAGATTAAAACCATAATGAAATCTCACCTCACACCTGTTAGAATGGTTATTATCAAAAAGATATGACATAAGCAGTTCCTAATTCATAGGGTGCAGGGAAACATTTCAGTAAAAAAATCAGGTTAATATTTAACATATAATGCCTGGTTATAGTAATAGTTCAACAAATGTTAGCTATTACTATCTAAACAATGATCATTTCACTAAAATGGAATTTTTAACTCACCACAGCACTCATCTGGAAACTTGAGGCTAATGTCATACTTAATACTCCTTCCATTCCTCTGCCCACATCATGAAACATCAACCCATTTGGCTATAAGCTCTTCCAAGGAAAGGGATCCATCCTTACTGTCATTCATCCCTCCCTCACCCCAGAACTCTTAACAAAGCAGGCAGTCAAAAATAATGAAGCCTCTAGTTCAAAGGATACATACCCAAAGCGCACCCTCACCCTTCCAACCTGTTTCAGAGATTACACAAACCAAGACCAATCAGTCTAACAGAAATGCCAAAACTGGGATGACAATGCATCCCAACATCCTTCCTTAACATTAGGCAGATGAAGCAAGAAACTCGAAAATAATTTTTAAACCTAAATAGCACAAAAGTCCGGAGAAAGCAATGGCACCCCACTCCAGTACTCTTGCCTGGAAAATCCCATGGACGGAGGAGCCTAGTAGGCCGCAGTCCATGGGGTTGCTAAGAGGCAGACACGACAGAGCAACTTCACTTTCACTTTTCACTTTCATGCATTGGAGAAGGCAATGGCAACCCACTCCAGTGTTCTTGCCTGGAGAATCCCAGGGACGGGGGAGCCTGGTGGGCTGCCGTCTATGGGGTCGCACAGAGTCTGACACGACTGCAGCGACTTAGCAGCAGCAGCACGGAAGTCTGAGTCGCAGGAATTTTCAGGATGACACCTCAAGCTTTCCCAGGTCCGACAGACTGACAGCCTCAGGTGCTGTCACCGTATCGGACCATCACTGAAAGGCAAAAGCACCTCACGGCGGTCAAGGGCTTTCTCCCCACGGCCCCCCAGGTATTCACACAGGAGAGACAGGCAGGAGCAGGTTCCCCGGGGCCCTCGCTCCTCCTCCGAGCCAGGTTTTCAGAGGGGAAAGCAGGCTTGCGCAAAGGGGGAGGGCCTACATCCCTCGCGGTAACGGGAATGCTCCAGGTGCACGGCCCCGAGGTCCTTCCTCAGCTCCCCACACACCCTAAGGCGACGCGGGGCCCCCGGGCCTCAAGAAGGAAGGCGCCGCCGGAGAACGGTCGTTGGGGGAGGAAAGTGGGAGAGCCGGGACAGCGAAGGTACCTCAGAGGCGGCGAGTCGCCAAAGAACACGCTGCCCCCGGCTGCCGGCAGCACCTGCCGGAAGTCGAAGTCCCCGGGCGGCGCTACGTCCCACAAGGAGTAGGCGCCGGAAGCGCACGGCTAGCGCCATGTTGTATAACTCACAGGGCTGACCTTTCACCTCTTCCACCGCAAGGAGCGGGGCGGAGCTAAGGGCGTTCCGTCTTTCCAGAGGGGGTCGCGTCTGACCACTTCCGGTTTCACGCCCGCTTCCGGTTCCGCGCGGCAGCTTCCGGCGCGCGGTGTCCGCGGGCGGGAAATGCCCCATTGGGTGGGACGTAGTGGGCTTCTAGCCCTTGCGCGCGCTGGAGTGAGGCCCGGAAGTAGCGCCTTTCTGGCTTCAGACTTCTACCCGTCTTAGGGGTCTGTCTTGGCTTTGGCACAAGGGCAGATCAGCATTCCATAATTTATGTATGCAAATAAAAAACGCTTAAAAAAAAAATTCTCTCCTGCCTTTAGAGGTGGGGAGAATGCTGGTACTGTAGGGTCCCTTAAGGAAATAAATGCTTGGGAGGATTAAACTGTTCTATGTATGGGAAGGAATGAAGGAGGAGGAGGTTGTCAGGGAGAAGCCAGAGACAAAGAATGACCAGCCTAGGGACTTACCTGGTGGGCTAGGGGCTAAGACTCCATACTTCCAACTTAGGGGGCCTGGGTTCCATCCCTGGTCAGGGAACTGATCCCACATGTTGCACCTAAGAGTCCACAATCTGCACCTACAAGGGGCACAGCCAAATAAAGAATGACCCGCCCACACTGATCCAGTAAGAAGGACTAGAGAGAGGAAGCCTTTGGACAGAAGGTTGCTGGCTGTGGTATGCTTTCCGTTGTGTGGTATGAAACCCCTCGGTTCCCCTCAAAATATTCACTACTGTAGGCCTTCTCACTGCGCTAGAATTCTTTCGGAGGGAAAGAAGAGGTTTTGAACCTGCTTCAGAGTTGATGTGGAAGAAAATACAGGCTGAAAACCTATTATATAGACTATATGAAAAAAATTTATGGGCAATAAGGGAAGATAGTTATGGTTTTGTGGGTTTTTTTTTTAATTAGGTTACACTTATATAGTACTCTTAATACTACGTGGTGAATTAACACAGACTTTTATTTCATTTGATCTTCCCAACTATGTTGAGAAGTGGTATCCAAAATTAATAAACAAGTGAACTATATCTTAAAGCGTTTTATTACTCAAGGATACATAGCTGGTAAGTATTGGTTGGTCATTGCTCAGTTGTGTCTGACTCTTTGTAACACCATAGACTGTAGCCTGTCAGGCTCCTCTATCCTTGAGATTTTTCAGGCAGGAATACTGGAGTGGGCTGCCATTTCCCCCCTCTAGGGGATCTTCCCAACCCAGGGATCGAACTCACATCTCCTGTGTCTCCTGCATTGGCAGGCGGATTATTTATCACAGAGCCATCAGGAAAGACCAGTAAATATTGATAGAAGAGTAGAATTCATTTCTTCTAACAACAAGTTCAAAGCCTGTTCTATGTGATTTCTCCTTCCACCGTTTGATCAATCACATTTTTTCAGGATTATATCAGTGATATCCCTATTGCGTTTACTTTTAAAATATTTTGTGAAAGATATATAGATCCTCTTCACAATTTACTTTCTCTTTTTTTAAAAAAAAATTCTACTGGTAGTTTTCTCAGTATTGCCAAATATTATGTTTTTACCACTGGATGCCATCATAATGCTGAGATTGACTTTCTGATATTTAAACCAGAATTAAATTTTTAATTAAAATTTTTATTTTGAAAAAAAAAATTTAGATACTTAGAAAAGTTGCAAGAAATCTCATATATTCTTCACCTAGATTCATCCATTATTTTTAGATCCTTAGGAAAGTTGCAAGAAATCCCATATTTTCTTCACTTAAATTCATCCATTATTAACATTTTCTCACATTTTCTTTATCTTTGTTTAAATATATTACATATAACATGCATATTATATTCCTGTTATTATTTTCGTTTGTTGAACTTGTTAAGAGTAGATTATACATATCATGACTCTTCAAGCCCAGAAACAAGGACATTCTATTATTTAGTCCTACTGAGGTGAAAGTTGCTCAGTCATGTCTGACTGTTTGCAACTCCATGGACTATACAGTCCATGGAATTCTCCAGGCCAGAATACTGGAGTCAGTAGCCTTTCCCTTCTCCAGGGGATCCTCCCAACCCAGGGATCAAACCTAGGTCTCCCACATAGCAGGCAGATTCTTTACTAACTTAGCCACAAGGGAAGCCCAAGAATACTGGAGTGGGTAGCCCCTATCTCTTCTCCAACAGATCCAACCCAGGAATCAAACCGGGGTCTCCTGCATTGCAGTTTAGTCCCAGTACAATTATCAAATTCAGGAAATTAAAGTTGACAGAATATTATTATTTAATGTACAAGATCTGCTTATTGTCCCAATGCTGTCCATCATAGTAACAATTTTTTCCCAACTCAGATCAAATCCTGATTACATGTTGAATTTAGTTGTCTTGTTATGAAGAAGGAATTCATAGGACCTGGACTCCATCTCAGGCCTGTCCATGCTGATCGGGCTCGGCCACCTCTCCAGTGAACTCTGAACTCTGTGTTTAGTGCCTATGGAAACAACAGAAGGATAAGACCCCCTCCAGGCAGGGTAACCTTGAAGATCGTATCCAGGTTACTCCTCACCTAAGAGAACACATATACTAATCACCCCTTCCTCCAGACAGGCCATAAATTTTCTGTACCTATTGGAGTGTAACCTCGGGCTTATTGATTATTGGCTAATTGTTTAACTGTCTAAGCACATGGCACATGAATGATGGGGGTTATTGGGATTGTATTTACCCTTCCTTTGTTTATGTAAGTCTCAAAGAATTGGGGGTGGTGGGTTTGAACACATACACATGGGGTATAAAAGATTTTCACAAATGCTGGTCAGGGTCTTTGGCTAAGAGGAGACTCTGCCTTGGGGCTGCCGGTGTAATAAACTGCACTCCACTATCTGCATTGTCCTTCTGAGTGAGTTTGTTTCCTGGAACAAGTGGCTACAACAGTTTCTCTAGTCTCCTTAAGTCTGTGATATTTCTCTCTTGGCTCCAGGGACAGTATCTTTTCTTGCCTCCTGTGAGCCTCAGATTTCTCTCTGTGATTTTTTTCTGTCAAGATTCCTTCCCATTTCACTTACTTTCTTGTCACCCTCCCCTTTCCCCTGATCGCAATCCACTATTCCTTATCTATGTAATTCGTATTCATCTTTCAACTCTCAGTACAAACGTTACTTCCTCAGAGAAATTTTTTTTTATTCCCCTTAGTATATTTTCATTTTCTTTATGACTCTAAGCACATTTAATAGTTTCTTTTATATATTTGTGATTATTTGTCAATCTGGAGTAAATTTTAAAGATAGCATTGATAAGAATCAATAATATGTGCCTTCACTATATTGTAAACTCAATGATGTGTCAGATTTTTGCTTATAGCTGGGCCTGGCACAATTTCTTCACTCATTAAACAAATATATTTTGCTTTTCTATAGTATGCCTGATATTCTTCTAGACCGAGTGAATAATTCATAGTGGAGTATATATTCCAGCTGGAAAGAGATAATAAGCAAGATAAATGATATGACAGATAATAAAAGATATAATGAGTGTGTTAGTCACTCAGTCGTGTCTGACTCTTTGCAACCCCATGGACTGTAGCCCACCTGGCTCCTCTGGCCATGGGATTCTCCAGGCAAGAATACTGGAGTGGGTGGCCATTGCCTTCTCCAAAGATATAAGAGACAGTGCTAAATGCTGAAAAGGAAGATAAAGCAGGAAGGGGTGTAGAGTATACTTCTTTGTAGGCATTACAGTTTTTAATAGGGTGGTGGCCACAGAAGAAATCACTGAGTTAGAAGGGGGAAGGAGCCACTGAAGATATCTGGGGGCAGAGCATATCATGTGGGGGAAAGTGAAAGTGCAGAGGCCTGAATTTGGAAGTCAAGTGACATTTTCTCTGAACATAAGTGCTCCCCTGGTGGCTCAGATGGTAAAGAATCTGCCTGCAATGCAGGAGACCCAGGTTTGATCCCTGGGTCAAGAAGCTCCCCTGGAGGAGGAATTGACAACCCACTGAGTATTCTTACTGGGAGAATTCCATGACAGAGGAGCCTGGTGGGGTAGAGTCCAGGAGTCCCAAAGAGTCGACATGACCGTGTGATTAAAACTAACCAACTAGCGCTCTAAGTTGAGTGAGCAAGGAGGAGAGTATTAAGAAGAGATAAGGTCAGAGAGAAGATGGGGATCAGGTAATGTAGGGCCTCGTAAACCACTGTAAGGGCTTCACCTTTCTTTCTTTGTATGATTGTATGTGACACAGGCTTCCCAGGTGACTCAGTGATAAAGAACCTGTTTTGACAATGGGGAAAATGCAGGTTCTACCTCTGGGTCAGGAAGATCCCCTGGAGTAGGAAATGGCAACCTGCTCCAGTAATATCACCTGGAAAATTCCATGGACGGAGGACCCCTTGTGGGCTACAGTTCATTGGGTTGCAAAGAGTTGGACATGACTGAGCACACGCAGACACAGACACACACAGACACACACACAACACAGTCTAATTTACATTTTAATTTAACTGTTCTTCTAACAGTTTTGAAAACAGACTGGGGGGAGCTGGTAAGGAAGCAGTTACTAGGATGTTATTGTAATTGTGGTGACTTGGACTAGGCTGGAAAATAGTCAGAATCCAGACGTATTTTGAAGGCAGAGTTGATAGAATTAGCCAACACCCTGACCAGATAAGGTGGGATCTGAGAGAGGCAAAGATTTCTCCAAATGTTTTGGCCCAAATAGCTGGAAGGAAACTTTGACATTACTTGAGATAGAGAAGACTCTGGGAGATACAGATTTGGGAAGGAAGATTGGGAGGATGTACCTGTACATTTAGATTTGAAATGATTATTAGACATCTGTGTTAGCCAGTCTTCAAGATGGCCTGTAATGGTTCTTACCTCCTGAATTTACTCCTTTGTGGGATTCCCTCTCACATTAGGTACAGACTGGTTTATTTGACCACTGGAATATGGAAAAAGTGATTGTATATGACTCCTGAGGCTAAAT